AAACTTTAACCTTGCTTGATGACACCAAGATTGTGAATCCCTTTCAAGCAACAATTATTTTCTCTTTCACACCTCTCTTACTCCATTCCAACACTTAATATCACTAGTTCACTAGAGGCTGGATGCTGCTTCGGCCCTGGCTCCCAAGGTTATCAGGAAAGATGGCCAGTCCAATTAGCATATTACACTTTTATTATTATTGAAGATTCAACAGATATCTCACCCCTAAGACATGTAAGGCATTTGTGGGTGGGTCAGGGGAAGTGCTAAGTAACAAAATAGCCAAAATCTCTAAACGGGGAGCTTATATTCACTTGGAGAAAAGGAAAACAAACAAGCTCATAGGAAAATAAAGTAGAAGTCATAATGAGAATTTTGTGTGGGGCAGAATACTCACTTGAAATGGAGTGATCAGTGGCATTTTTAAATGGGGGTATGAAAGGTAAGGAGCCAGTCAAGCCAAGAGTGAGACGGTGAAGAACATTTCAGACCGAGGGCATAATAAGGAATTCTTTGCCTCCTCCATAATCTATTTGTGCTCACACCCTGGATCTCGTCACCAGCAGAACCTGAATACTTCCCATATCACCAACTGAAATTTGCCATACCCTCTGACAACTTGCCTTTTCATAGATGTCACTTCATCCAGAAGTCTAATCCACTGACCTATGTTCCTCAGGAAAGCTCTTTTTACTATCTTCCTTTATCCAATTTACAATTCCCCTCTTACACATACATTCAATCCCTTGACTCTCCTGCTTTCCTTCAGGCTAGCCTGGCAAAATCCCAATCATTCCGCCTTTTCTAAGACTCTATCTGTGCCAGTGAAAATGCTAGACACAATCCCAGACAGATTTGGAACACTGAAAATTCATGATCACTAATTTCATATGAACTTCTACACTGCCCAGTAGTGCTAAATAATGACTACTTGGGCCCTAGCCGGTTTGGCTCAGTGGATAGAATGTTGAGGGGTGGACTGAAGGGTCCCAGGTTCGATTCCAGCCAAGGGCACATGTTGGGGTTGTGGGATCGATCCTCACTAGGGGGCGTGCAGGAAGCAGCCAATCAATGATTCTGTCATTTTTGATGTTTCTCTCTCTCTCTCCCTCTCCCTTCCTCTCTGAAATCAATAAAGAAATATATTTTTAAAAATAATAACTATTTGGTATCTTCTACATTCTCTTCAACATTTTTACCCTACTCTCGACCCTAGCTTTCATGATGCCCTACTATTACGGCTTTCCCTCCTACCTTTCTGATTATTTTGTTGTTATTTCCTCTTCTGATCTAAAGCTTAGAGATCTTTTGGACTCAGATGTGGGCCATTTGCCCTCATTGTTCTATGTTCTTCCCAGGTGACTTTATCTATTCCCATGACTTTATCATCTATATGCTAATAACTCCCAAGTCTTTCTTTCCCAGACCACCTCTTTACTTTCAAGATCACCATTTTTTACTAAAACCACCATCATCTCCTGGTGATCCTATCTAATAAAGAAGGAATATGCTAATTGACCCTCACACCATCATAAAAGATGGTGATGCCCACAGTTAATAAGGAGGAAATATGCTAATTGACCCTGCCCTCAAAGATGGCAGCTTCCATAGCCAATAAGGAGGGAATATGTTAATTGGCTGTCCTGCCCTCAAAGATGGCAGCTTCCACAGCCAATAAGGAGGGAATGTTAATTGGCTGTCCTGCCCTCAAAGATGGCAGCTTCCACAGCCAATAAGGAGGGAATATGTTAATTGGCTGTCCTCCCCTCAAAGATGGCGGCTTCCACAGCCAATAAGGAGGGAATATGTTAATTGGCTGTCCTGCCCTCAAAGATGTTGGTGCCCACAGCCACAAGATAGTAATGCCCAGTCCCCTCAGCCCTGCCAGGGTGGCAGGCATGGCGGCTGAGCCCACCTAGGGGCAGGCCCAGCCTTGACACACGCCTGCCTCGGGAGTCCCCCAGTCCCTTCAGCCCCTCCCAGCCTCCCAGGGCCAGCCCGAGGCGCAGGCAAGCCTCAGATGGCAGCTGCCCAGCTAACCAGGTCTGCCCCAGGCATAGGTAACTAGGGCTGTCTGAGGCTTTGCACTGCTGGCAGTGGCAGCAGCAGAGGTGTGATGGGGCGTCGTCTCCCACCTCCGAAAGCTTCTGGACTGTGAGAGGGGGCAGGATGGGCTGAGGGGACCCCCCACTCCAGTACACAAATTTTCATACACTGGGCCTCTAGTATTACTATAATAGCTCTTAATTTCTCTGCTAATAGTTCAGTCTTCCCTTGGTAGCCACAATGACCTTTCTATTGTATAATTCAGATGTTTTTTCCCTTACTTAAAACTCTCAACAGCTTTCCACAACTCTCAGAAAAAATCCTAAAAAATGGCCTCTTGAGTCTGCCTTAACACATTACCAAAAATTTGGAGGCTTAAAAAAACAGAAATTTATTCTCTCACAGTTCTAGAGACTGGAAGTCTAAAATCAAGGTGCTGGCAATACCACAATCCCTCTAAAGCAGGGGTAGGGGACATCTAGCCCACGGGCCTCATAAGACATGTGAAAACGTTTGGTCTGGCCTTACCAACGCATTAGGGGTGAGTTAATTTTTGACCAAATACAGCAGGCTAATTTTTTAAGTTGATAATTTTGTATGGCCCACAAATGATTTATAAATATCCAAATGGCCCTTGGCAAAAAAAAAAGAAAAAAGGTTCCCACCCTTCTCTAAAGACTAGAGATTCCTCGCCTCTTCCAGGTTCTGGAATCTTTGGAATCTCCCTGGCTTGTGGCTCAATCACTCCGATTCTTTATCTCTGGCTTCATTATGGCTTTCTCTTATCTCCTTCATTTGTCTTATAAGAACACTAGTCATTGGACTTAGGGCCCACCCAAGTCATTCTAGATTATTCCTTCTCAAGATCCTTAACTTAATTGCATTTGCAAAGACCTTTATTTAAAAAACTGTCACATTTACAGGTTCTAAGGATTAGGAATGGGCATATCTTTTGGAGGGCCACCATTTAACCCACTATAGCCTCTTAGCCTCCAAGGCCTTACCCAAGCTGCCTCTGCCTCCCCCTGCAGCTTCATCTCCCAAAGCTCTCTTTCTTGGTGCATGGCTTTATCCATGCTGGCTGCCTTTTATTTCCTTGATTGAGGACAAGCTCTTTCCCAACCTTCTGCTAAATCCTATTCTATACCATGCTCTCTAGTCTTTACCTAGCTAACTCCTCCTTCAGGTCTTGACTTAAATCTAACTTCCACAGAGAAGTGTTTTTTGATCCGTACACAAGTATATTGTCATAGTTATCATCCCTCAAAGCACTTTGTTCCTTCACAGCATTCAATTATTTTCCTGTTTCCAAGTTGAACCTGCATATAATTTGTGTGTTTGCTTGTTATTGTCTCTTATCACTGGACTGTGAATTCTTCATACCACTCTGGCACACCTGCTTTGTTCACTTCCATTGGTATGCCCAGGTGTGGGCCAGCACCTGGCACAGAGGCAATAACTAAATAAAGATGTACTGAGTAAAAACAGCACTTCCAGTTCCCCCTTTGAACAGGATTAGGTAAGTACAAATAAATGGGTTAGAAGGGTCACCAGACAGCTCAGGACACGAGTCCTGCAACAGATCTCTCTCCCAGGCCAGCATGATATGATGGCCAAGCTGGGTAGAAAAGGAACAGCAGTACCCAATTACTAGCAAGTTGTTTCTCTGCTCTTCAGTTCTGTCATGAACAAACTGTATACCTCAAGAACTCATTCATCTTTTATAATAATCTCTACCTACTGTCTTAAAGGATTAATTGAGGTTTTTCAGAATTTTAGGAAAAACTCCAATAACAACTGATTTCTTACTGAAGCCTAATACTTAACTGGGAGATTCACATTATATATAAGGTTCTTAATTCTACTAAATCACAAAAATGATTCAAGTATTAATAATAAATACTGCTGGCCTGTTTTAAAATCTAGTATGCACAGAGGAACACAGAAAAGAGAAATATTTTCTAGGACACATGAAATTCTCCAGCCTCTTTTTTACCCTGAAATTTATTTTTTAAATTCAGATATAATTCACATACTGTAACTTCCCCCTTTTAAAGTGTACAATTCAGTGTTTTGCCCAAAGTTGTACCACACTGTCACTATCTAATTCCAGTACATTCTCATCACCATCACTCCTCCTCCCCGTCCCCCCCCCAAAAACAAACAAACAAACATGCTCATTAGCAATCATTTGCTATTCCTCCCTTCCCCAGTCTCTGGCAACCACTAATTTATCATCTCTACAGATTTTCCCATTTGTTTTTCATATTTATGAAACAAATATAGAGACATGAAATGATTTGCACAGGGTTGTAGTCACCTCATAAGAAAGCAAGATTATAATATGCGTATTTATAGCAACTTTTTAAACAGTACAAAATATAAGAGATCAGTGAAAATGTGTTAAGCTCAACTATACATATCTTCATTGTGGCTATAAGACACATGGTGCTTAAAGCTCAATTCTTAGGGTAGTAGTTCTCTGGCAGTGTGTCAGGCTGGGTGGAGGCAGGAGGGCAGGGCGTTGGGCAGGGATCACTAAAGAAGAGATGCTACTGTTGGACAGGAACTGCTTATAGGGACAGGATGATGAGAGAAAGAAGGTTGAGAAAGTGTGAGACAACGGGGTTTATGGATCGTTCGTTTGTTTGTTTTTTTAGCCCAAGTGCCCACTTGCTTTCTTTTATAGTGACCTCAGTGGGCCCCACAGATCCCTAATTATTCCCAGTTTTTTTGAGTAGTTAATGCATAAATAGTGCTGTCACCATTTCAGAATACTTGCTGGTTTATGACACTTTGCAAAATAATATAGAAAACTTGACTTTTTTATAGTCTACTGTTCACATTCCCATTTAAGTTAAAGAATTACAAGCTTAACTTCTGCACCATCAATAAATGTGTACACAGGAACAGTGATCCCACAGACTAAGGTAATCAAAATCCATTTGCAAAAATAATTAGGCACACATTTTATTTTGTCTTAATATTGCAAATACATTTACAAAGGGAAAAAAGGATAGAAACTGCTCATCACACAGAAAAAAATGCATCATTCAAAACAGATTAATCTGAACTTCAACATTCTTTTTTTTAAAATATACTTTATTGATTTCTGAGAGGGAGGGAGAGAGAGAAAGAGATAGAAACATAAATGATGAGAGAGAATCATTGATCAGTTGCTTCCTGCATGCACCCCACTGGGGATTGAGCCTGAAATCTGGGCATGTGCCCTTAATGGGAAGTGAACTGGGCCCTCCAAGTTCATAGGTCAACGCTCTACCACTGAACCACACATGCCTGGCAAAATCTCAACATTCTTTGTGCTCATTTAAATATATTTTTAAAACACAAACTCAAAAAGACAAGTGAAAACTGTTTAATCAATTCAAATTGAAATCCTAAATCAACTATGACTACAAAACTTAAAAATAACCTTGTCTTCAATCTAGAAACACTTGATTTGCCAACACATAATGAAAACACATTTTCTTTTACTAACAAGTTATTTTGAGTTATAGAGATCTTGCATACGACTAGCTTATCTTCTTCTTTTTTTTTTTTTTTAATGACTTATAAAAATGCCAAGTTAGATGGTCAAACTATTCAGAGACTCGGATACTAAATGACATAGTGACTGGCTATTTAAAGTTGAAACTTCTAGTTTAGCAAATATTTTTCTAAAGTTATGATTCAGCATGTAAACTAACTTAAAAGGTCAACTCTTAATTGCCCCCCAAAAAAGAGAGATTTAGTATCAATAAATTAGAAGTAGGGCAGCCAAATACATTTTGTTTAGTTTTATAGTGTGTTTTTTAATTAAATTGGAAATGCCTATGCATGAAAAGTGGAAGTCTCATTCTTCAGTTATGTACAGGATTGTAAGGAATTAACAGCCTAACTCTTCCAAATTAATTGATATAAATAAAGCACTAGTCTAAAATTTCTTCCAAAAAGCCCTGAAATTTAGACCAAGAGTAAATAAAGAATTAAGTACTACTCTAGTTTTTAATGTTCCCTTTCCCTCTTGACATGAGCAGCAAGATACTAGGATAAAAATAATTCCAGTATGTACTTCCAGAATATATCAACTTTAATTCTCCCATTTGATAGGGGGCTAAGAATAATAATAAAAATAAATTAAAAACTAAAAGGTAATTTAATAATTTAAAAAAGGCAGGCTGAGCATGGAGAGAGGGTAGGTTTAGGAGAATATCTGTTGTCAGTCAACCCTTTTGTAAAATTCGAGCACTATGATAAGTCCTCTTTAAATTATACCCAGTGCCATGGCAATTCTTTGATAAATTTTAAGGTTGCCAGATAACTTACATAAAGCTAATAACACATTTTCATTTTTAGAAGCAAAATAAAAAAATAAAAATATTCAAGCCACTGAACAATTTCACTTTTTGAAATAACTATCCTAAAATTTTTTCTTAAATTCAGATTTGCAAAGTTGCTACATCATTAAGTAGACGCTGAAAACAAATTTTCATATAAGGATTATGGATTAATTTTTTATCAAGCATGTATTTTTCAAAAATCTAGGCCAAACTGAACTAATTTGAGATTTAATTCTAAATTTAGGTTTCTAAATATAACATCGCAATTAAACCAGTTAAAATACTTTTGTTTAGTATGTTTACTTCTCCAATTATTTAGTTTGGGAAATATTTACAACCTTGCCCCAAAAGATTATTTACAGTTTGAAAGATTAAAGATAAAAACAAAAATTGGTTCAACAACTGACAAAATGAAATGAATACAACTTTCCACTCAATCCAAAAATAAACCACTGCAGGTGAGCTCAGCTCACATAAGTCTTAAAACCAATTCTTTTTCCCAGCTTCATAACTGGACTGAACGTTGCTCAAAAACAATACCTATGTTAAAAGTGAACAGATAAAAAGTGTTGTAAAGATTGCACAATGATTGAAACTGAGACGGATATAATGCATAATCATAACATTTCAGAGCTGGAAGAGATCTTCAGGATCCATCTAATCCAGCATCCACATTTTGCAGATCAGGAAACTGAGGGCCAAACTGAGTCATTTGGTCAAATGACTTGACCAGTCACATTCCTGGGCTGAGCCATTCATTCATTCACTCAGTCATTTCCCCACTTTGGAAAGCAGCCTAAGTGTGAGGCTCAGTGGAAAAAAGCTGGAAGGCAGCATTCACCATTGTCAAGACAGGCTTCTTTCCTTATCTTCTTAAGATTAATCCTGAAATGCCCTAAGCAGCTAGAACTCACAGAAGAGTTCCACAGCCTCTGCAAAACAGGGCCCACTTTCGTTTTCACACATTTCAATAAACACAGTTGGGTTTAACTTCAGAGAGGCCTCAGTTGTATTTACTTTAAGTGATTAAGCATTAACAAAGGGAAGGAAGTACAATATTCTGAATGAGTCCCTCTCTAGTACATTCATAACTTAAGGAAGTGCAATCAGATAATGCCTTAACACACTAACAAGTTCACAGACAGGACAGGTTATGAAATCAAAGCTATCTGAGGTATCACTATAGATCAGTTAAGTCCAATAGCTCAAGTTTGCAAAGTGTGGAATGTAAAGATCTCCCCATTTCATTCAGATGTGGGTATATTTTTCTGAGTGTCTATATGTAAAAAAAGACCTCCAAACTCACATTCAAACTAATGCCCTCTTCTAATGACACACATATCTAAACAAGGCCTTTCTCCTTAAAATCAACTTTCTTTAATTTCCATTTCATTTTAAAAAATTAGAAAAAATAAACAAACCCCAAAAGTTAATGTGTTGGTTAAAGAAATCCAAAATCTATGTATAATCAAAACAGCTTTAGCTCAAACTGCACATTTAAGAATTTGTAAAAAAAAAAAAAAAAAAAAAAAAGGATGTGCAGTGAACTTACCCATCAACAAAAATCACCTATTTTACTTGGGACTTTTACAGTCTGTACGATCATCTGGCACCTACATGTTTTGTGTATCTCAATTCACAGTCAACTTCTTTAAGGAGAAGAAACCATATTGACAGAACTCTGAAATAAAATAAAACCACTTCTAAGTAAGGCACTTTCAAACGTGAAACAGCAGCGCTCTGCGCAACAGTTTGTGTTCTATGCCAAGATGAAACACAGATTATACAGCACTCTCAGAGATGACCACTGGGCGATTTCTAATAAAATATAATCTCCATTGAGGCTCTTGGACTTTCCTGAATATACTGTCAACTCAGGACTAAAGTGCTGCTTATGCTCCTTTAGTTCTCAAACTTCCAGATTTGATTTTTATCCAGAGCATCACAAGTTCTCATCTGCACATCAGCGCGGCCCTCAGGTGTCCGATAAGCACTAAGACAGAGTCCTGAGTGTGGATGAAAAATGGTTCCGTCTTCTTTGAAATGCCAAATAATGTTTGCTGGCACAGAGGACCCATCTTTTGGACAATTCTGCATTCCTACGTGATTTTTTTGCTCAGGGACCTGTGCACATAACTCAGTCACAGAATTAAACCTGATTTCTTTGTTTGAAGTATATTCAAAGAATTGATTGCCCCCTTGACCATGGCATCCAAACAGTGAAAGGTTAGCACCTGTGGGGTTGTTGTCGGGAGAGTTATAATCTAAACATTCAGAAGAGATCCCCATACTGCGAATAGCTCCGTGCCAGCCTGGCCTATCCTCTGGAACGTGTAAGTTCGAAAACACATTTTTCAAATACCAGTCAAAGCTCTGGCACTTCAGCCGTTCTCGTAGCAATTTTCTTTCAGAAATATCCCCGTAAGATTCTTTCCTTGCTGGAGGGTTTCGATTGTAGAAATGCTCTTTGTACTCATCCATCCACACTTCGGCCGCCCGAGCAGTGTTCTGCAGAAAATTGGGCCGAGCATAGGGAGCCCGCTTAGGGAATACGTGGCCCACGTGGGAACATGGGTGGATCTCCAGTTTCCCTCCACACTGCCACACTCTGAAAGAGAGCTCCAGATTTTCACCTCCCCACACTTCCATCCCAGTGTCGTATGTCCCAAGGTACTCAAAGTATTTCTTGCTGACAGCAAACAGTCCTCCGGCCATGGTGGGCGATCTGATTGGCTCAATTCTCGATTTCCTCCTGTCCCTTTCGTGCTTGGGGACAGAATGCCACTGAAACGTTAAACGCCAGTCAAACCCACCAATCATGGGTTCCCCAGTCTGCATATAGAATTCAAAAGTATTCCAATCGATGGTATCTATCACAGGACAAACGATGGCCGTTTCATCCTCACCAATCCTTTCCAAAAGGGGTTCCAGCCAACCAGAGTTACACTCACAGTGACAATCCAGGAAAGTGAGCACATCCCCCGTGGCGAACGTGGCCCCGATGAGGCGGGCCCTCACCAAGCCCTCCCGCTTGGTGGTTCGAATCAAGCGGACTCGGTCGAGGTTGCTGATGTACGTTTCAAGCTGTGTCTTCAGATACACCCGGTCGCTCAGGTCATCCACGAGGATAATCTCCTTCAGGAGGACAGCGGGGGAGGTTTCCAAAACACTGTGGATGGTGCGGAGCAGCGTGGACCAGGCTTCGTTGTAGAAAGCGATGATGACGGAGGTGGTGGGGAGCCGCCTGTAGTCGAAGGTCTTGGACTTGCACTCGTGCATTCGCTTGTCCTCTATGTGGCGGTGCAGGGAGATCCTGTCACTGAGGTAGATGTTGATGGCATATCGCTCAATGAGCTCCTCTTGCTGCTTCCGTTCGGCCTCGCCGAGCTGCAGTTTGCTGGCTTTGCCCCACTCGCCCAGGGCGCGGGGGTCTGCGGGCGGCTTGTCGTACAGCGGCCGGGACAGATCCCCGGCCTTTTGCGCGGGGTCGGAGAGCCGCCCGGGCCCCCGCTCCCAGGCCGGGCCGGCTCCCGAGGAGGCATGGAGATTGGAGACGGAGAGCTCCACCAGGACGTAGGCCACGGTGAGCAGCGCCAGCAGCAGGCAGCTCTTGCCCGCCCAGGTCCACCTCGCGGCCGCCCGGAGCCGCATGGTCTCCGCGCGGGGCGCGGGCAGCGGACCCGCCGCCGCCGGGCGTTCGGGACTCAGCGGGCCCCCCCACCTCGCTCTCCCTGCGGGTCCTCGGCTCCTCGGCGGCCGAGGGGCCTCCCGGGTCCCCCCCGAGCCCGCAGTCACCGCGCGCCGCGCAGCCCCAACTCGCTCGGCACTTCCTCCCGCGCCGCGCACAACTTTTCTCAAACTCGCGGCCAACACCCACCCCTCCCCGGGCGCGGACAGGCCCGCCCCGCCGCCCGCTCGCTCCTCCTGGCGGTGAGTTCGCGCAAGGCTCCCGGCCGGACCAGGCCAGGCGGGACCCAGCGGCCTGCTCCCCGCGCTCCTGGCCGCCCCCCAACCCGGGGCCTCGGGGGCCTCTGGGGGCGGCGTGGGCAGGAGGCGAGGCGTCCCAGCAGCGGAGCGCTGCCCCGTTAGAAAATGAGGGGGGGGGGGGAGAGGGAGAGAGGGAGAGAGGGAGAGAGGGAGAGAGGGAGAGAGGGAGAGAGGGAGAGAGGGAGAGAGAGAGAGAGAGAGAGAGAGAGAGGGAGAGAATATGAATGAATACAACTTACCCAATAGTTTGCCGTTGGGACTGAAGTCCAAGGATGTGATCGCAGCTTTGTGGCCCTTAAAGTAACGTTCCAGAACGGGGTCCTCCTGGGAAGGAAAGCGGTCAGGATGTGACAGCAGGTGCGGGCCTCCGACGCGGGGGGCCGGGGGCGCGCGGGGGGCCGGGGGCGCGCGCGGGGCCCGTCCCGGGAGCGGTCGCGGGCGGCGGGTCCGTGGGCAGGAGGCCCCGCAGGGAGACGCGGGGTGGCCCCGGCCCCCGCAGGGCCGGCAGCATCCCCGGGTCGCGCTGCTCAGAACCGCAAGGACCGGGGAGGCCTCCCGGGCAGCGCGTCTGAAACGCAGGCTCCCGGGCCCCCCGGCTCCGGCGCGTTTTAAACGCCTCCCGGTGATTCTGACGCAGGCGCTCCACGGGAACCTCCGAGGATTCTGGAGGCAGAGCGTCCGCCCGCAGGGGCTCCGTCCCGAGCCCGGCCGGGGCCGGACGCTCCCGCCGCCTGGGCAGCGCTGGGGGAGGCGCGGGCGCCCGGGGCGAGGGGCTGGAGACTGCGTTGGGAGGGGTCGGGGGGGGGGGGCCGGCGACGGACACCTGCCTCCACCTCCCGCCAGGTGCGGGCGCGGCTCCGACCGGGCCCCGCAGCCCGCAAAACCGGCTCCGGGGAGTCGCTTCCAGCCCGTCCTTACCGGGACGGAGGCCATGGGGGGAGCGGCGGGTCACCGGTTCTGCGGGTAGGGAAACGGGGGAAAAGAAGGGGATGAGATGCGATGGGGGACCATGCGGCGCCCGGAACCGTCTGCCTGGGGCGGCGGCGCCTCCCGGTCACTACAACAACGGCGGCCCAATCACCCCCGCGCTCCAGGCGTGGCCAGCCGAGCCCCGAGGTCCCGCGGCGCCGGGCACCGCCGGACGTCCTCCAGCTGGCAGGCCAGCCGCCCCACGGTCAGAAGCGACCACACGCCAAGACCAAAATGTATTTACACTCACGCACCTCCAAGCATGACACCCAGAAAGAGAGTAGTCTCCGTGGCTGGAATTAAACCGCTTGGAGCGAGAGGGTCAAGAGTCTGTGATCGATTCAATCGGAATTCCATTACTCCTTAAAGAGACAGCGCCAGCGAATTCAAGAGGGTTCCCTATTGCTTGTTATGACCAAGGAGGGAGATTTGAACCAAGCGGGAGCAGCTTGTTATGACAAGGGATGGAGATTTGAACAAAGCAGAAGCAGCTTAATGAGCACAAGGGAGCTAAACCTTTGGAGAACTGATTTAAATTTATTTAATTACTATTTCTCATACCATGTTCTGCGTGATGTAAATATAGATTGTGGATAAATGAGATAAATGATTGAATAAATGAATATTGTGCATCCACTTAATGTTTTTCTATTTTTTTATTCTAATCTCATTTTTGTATGTTTTAGAACAACCAACTTATGCAGCATATCTAGTATTTGAAAAGACTTAGGAATAAACATTTTGTTTTGTTTAATTACTAAGGCCACATAGTAGCAACAGCCATTTCTGTAGTAGGCTTCGTTATACATATCACTTGAGCTTCAGCAACATTATGAAGGTGACAGTTACAAAATGTTACCAACGTTTACAAATTATAAACTTGATTCTTAGATATTTTATATGTAATTGTCAAAAATCACAGAGACAGCTCTTCCAATTCCAAGTCCATTATCTTTTGTACCCAGCCTCAAAGCATCAAGGACACATCTGAAAATTACACACAGAATAAGAATTCTTGGCAGTATAAGATGGCATAATAGATCACTGAGGGTAAAATACATATTCTATGCAATAGAAAGGTATATAACTTAATTACAGTTTAACTGCTGAATGTGATGGAATTTAGTTTTAATGAATACTGTACTGAGCAATTATACAGATAGGAAATAGCTTTCGATTGCAGTATTAGTTTAACTCTAATATAAATTTGTTGAATATCTGAGGAATAAAAAGGTGACTGAGATATCTTCCCTTCCCACTTAACAATCTAGGTTTCTGAGCCTCATATTTTAGCACATATTATGATGATTTAGGGCAGTGGTCGGCAAACTCATTCGTCAACAGAGCCAAATATCAACAGTACAATGATTGAAATTTCTTTTGAGAGCCAAATTTTTTAAACTTATTCTTCTAACGCCACTTCTTCAAAATATACTCTCCCAGGCCGTGGTACTTTGTGGAAGAGCCACACTCAAGGGGCCAAAGAGCCACATGTGGCTCACGAGCTGCAGTTTGCCGACCACAGATTTAGGACCCCCCCTCTCCCCCCCCCATTCTCAAAGGTGCTGATTCAACATATAGGGGGTGGAACCAGAGTCCTTCCTATGTAATAAGCCCCTTAAATGATTGTGAGGGGAGTTTCAGCTGTGTACAAGGATGCGGGGGCTGTTTCTCTGTTTTCCGTGTCCATCTCCATCACGGAAAAGGAGACAGGTTCCTGAGTGAAGGAGCTGGGGATTAAGAAACTAAAGAAAGAAAGAGACCAAAAGGCAAAAATAGATTCATCAAGCTGGGCGCTAGGTGGGCGCCATCTTTCTGATGGAGAGGCAGCAAGCACCTGAGCCAGGCAGCAGGTTTATTTTATAGGGTCAAAGGCACTTATTTGCATTCTTAAGTAGGCCCTAGCATTACTGGATTTACATATTTAGACCCGCCCCTGCTGACACCTGGACAAAGGTAAATCAGAAACTGAATAACACCCTCACCTTCTTGGGAGGGTATAAGACCAGTGCCTCGGGCTTGGCTGACAATTTAAAGAGTGTCCATGTGCCTTCTCAGGCGGCCTTCTATACAAGGAGAAACATTGCCCTAGTCTAGGAGGTGATACATCAAGAGTGCTGATACCAGCAACTTGTCAGCAAAGTGGAAAGTCTTCGCCTTGCTATTTATTCCCAATCTAGGTGTGACGTGTTTTTTAAAGCCTTACATTCTTAAAAATAATGCTGGGTTCTGGAGGGATTATTCAATGGCATAGCACTGTGAAACACAGTTTGGCTGTTCCTAAAAATGCTAACTCCTAGGTATGTACCCACAGGCGCTGAAAGTAGGGGCTTGGAACAAATGCTTGCACGCCAGTGTTTATAGCAGCCTTATTCACAATAGCCAAAAAATGGAAACAACTCACATGTTAAACAGATGAATTGATAAGTAAATGTGATGCATACATGCAATGGACTGATATTCAGTCATAAAAATGAATGAAGTTCTAACATATACTACAACATACGTGAAACTTGAAAACGTCATGCTAAGCCAGACACAATGGAACTTATATGAGGCACCTTGAATAGGTAGATTCATAGAAATGAAATGTGGAATGGAAGTTACCAGTAGCTGGGGAAAAGGGAGAATGGGGAGTTATTTTTTAATGGGTGCAAAGTTTCTGTTTGAGCTTATAAAGTTCTGGAAATCATGGTTGATAATGGTGATGGTTGCAAAACACTATGAATGTAGTTAATGTCAGTGAACTATACACTTAAAAATAGTTAAAATGGTAAATTAATGTTATGTATATTTTACTACAATAAAAAATCATTCTGGGCCGAAACCTGTTTGGCTCAATGGATAGAGCGTCAGCCTGCAGACTGAAAGGTCCCAGGTTCGATTCCGGTCAAGGGCATGTACCTTGGTTGCAGGCACATCCCCGGTAAGGGGTGTGCAAGAGGCAGCTGATAGATGATGCTCCTCATCGATGTTTCTATCTCTCTGTCCCTCTCTCTTCCTTTCTGTAAAAAATCAATAAAATATATTTTAAAAAATAATAATTCTTGGAATTCTGAGGGATAACCCAAACCTTAGGATTTCTCACAGTCAAGATATGTCTAATATGGGGTACACAAAATTACAAAAAAAGGAACATTTGGATATGTAGACTAGCTCAAAAGGAAACAAAATTTTAAGTATAGATTTTCTGTATTTTAGTAAAAAATATTAAACTTTTCCCCAAAATATAAAAAAATACATGTTTTTAATCAAGTAGAAAAAAAAATCATCTATTGTCCCATCACCTAAAGTTGACTTTTATAAAAGTCATCTACCCATTATATGCTCACTACATGCCAGATACTCTTCTAAATACCTTACAAATTCTGACATTTAATCCTCATAAGAATCTTATTGTAGAGATGCTGTTATTGCCATTTTAGTCTTATAGAGAAGGGAATTGATGTGCAGAGACATTGAGTTAGTTGCCCCGTACACAGGAAGTGGCAAAACTGCCTCCAGACTCCACTCTCTTAATCACTAACTAAGTCATCATGCCTTTTGCATGATTGCAAGCATATTGTAAATATGTAAAATTCTGTATCTTAATCAAAGAGTAAGTTTTACAAAAAGAAAAAAGTAACATTTGCTTTATTTTCAAAATATTTTTTTATTAATTTTTAGAGAGAGAGTAAGAAAGAGCAATAGAGAGAAACATCAGTGAGAGAGAAACATCGTCGATCAGCTGCCTCCTGCACACACCCTTCTGGGGATTGAGCTGGCAGCCTGGGCATGTGCCCTGACCAGGAATCAGACCTGCATCTCTGGCTGGTCGCTCAACCACTGAGCCACACTGGCTGGACCATTTGCTTTGTTTTCCTTGTACTGTCTTCATCTCTTACTTCAAACTGCCCTTCCTATGGTTCTTTTCCATATTTGATTTTATTCCTTTTTGTTATTCCTCACCTTTGTAAACAGCAAAAGCTCAGATGGACATTTGGAAATATGACCAAATTGATGATATTTTTCCT